GGATTATTTGATATTTAAGTGTCTAGTTTCTTAAGTTCTTTACATATTTTGGAGATCAGCCCTCCATCAGATATGGGGTTGGTGAAGATATTGTCCCATTCTGTAGGTTGTTGTTTTATCTTATTGACTGTATTGTTTGCCTTACAGCAGCTTCTCAATTTCAGAAGGTCTCATTTATTGATTATTGTTCTCAGTGCCTGTGCTGCTGGGGTGATATTTAGGAAGTGGTCTTCTGTACTAATGCATTCAAGGCTACTTCCCACTTTATCTTTTATGAGGTTCAGTGTGGTTGCTTTTATATTGAGGTCTTTGATCCATTTGAACTTGAGTTTTGTGCATGGGGATAGATGTGGATCTATTTGCATCTTTCTATATGTTGATATCTAGTTATTCTAGCACCATTTGTTGAAGATGCTTTATTTTTTTATTGTACAATTTTGGCTTTTTTTGGGTCAAAAATCGGGTGTTTATAGGTGTATGGATTATTATCAGGGGTCTTTAATTTGATTCCACTGACCAATATGTCTGTTTTTATGTCAATACCAAGCTGTTTTCATTAGTGCAGCTCTAGAATAGAGCTCAATGTCAGGGATGCTGGTGCCTCCAGAAATTTCTTTATTGTATATGATTGTTTTGGCTATTCTGTTTTTTTTCATATGAAATTGAGTATTGCTCTTTCAAGATCTATAAAGAATTGTGTTGAGATTTTGATGGGGATTGCATTAAATCTGTAGATTGATTTTGGTAAGACCGCTATTTTTATTATGTTGATCCTACCTATCTAAGAGCATGGGAGAGCTTTGTATTTTCTGATATCTTTCTCAATTTCTTTCTTCAAAGACTTGAAGTTCTTGTCATACAGGTCTTTCACTTCTTTGGTTAGAGTTACCCCAAGATATTTTATTTGTGGCTATTGTAGAGGGTGATGTTTCTCTGATTTCTTTTTCAACTAATTTATCATTTGTATATAGGAGGACTACTGATTTTCTTGAGTTAATTTTGTATCCTGCCACATTAATGAAAGTGTTTATCAGTTGTAGGAGTTCCCTGATAGCATTTTTGGGGTCACTAATATATACTATTATATCACCTGCAAATAGTGAAAGTTTGAATTCTTCCCTTTCAGTATGTATCACCTTCATTTCCTTTTGTTGTCTTGTTGCACTAGCTAGATCTTTGAGTACTATACTGAATAGACATGGAGAGAGAGAGAGAGAGAGAGAGAGAGAGAGAGAGAGAGAGAGAACAGCCTTGTTGTGTTTCTCATTTTAGCAGGATCACTTACCAGTTACTAATGTGTAAATATATGCATGATGGCCAATGTCATGATTGCAATGCATGCCACTGAACAGTTATTGAGATTACATGTCGTTATATAGTGGTTCAATTAGCAAATGTACCACATTAAACAACTACTATAACACAGAGCACAGGAAATGGAGTTGCTCATCAGGATGTGCAAAGTTCAGAGCTTGGGTTGCCTTTAAAATGATAAGAGTCAAACTCTAGCCTCAGACATTGCCTTTGCTCAGGTGATATACAGCTAAGCCGCTCTAGTGTTGTTTCCAATACAATTTTTAATTGCCATTTTATAATTAAATTTTACTATTGACTGTGTTTAAGGAGCAGCTCACAGTAATTCTTACTCCTTATCATTCAATCACACATAACAGAAAGACTTTTTAGTCCAGTCTTCTCCTTTTGAATCCTTAGGAAACCAAGACACAGACATCAGGCAGGGGTGGAGATTCCAGGGTAGGAAACACTGGACAGAACTTGTAGCAGGGTGGTGACATCATCACGTTTATTCTCTAGCCAGCCTAGAAGGGAAGGGATTACTATTGGAATTCCACAAGAGAGGCAACTGAGGCAGAATTACAGCAAGTTCAAGAGAACATACTCCAGAGCTTGATAATATTTGGACCCAAATTCTTATTTGCATCTAAAATGCAGGAGCCCCTCAGAGAGTTTTCTCACTACACTCTCATGGAGATGTCACTGCTGACTTCCATGCTACTATGTCATGGTTTTTGTTCAATATGTATCAGTATTTTGCCTATAAATGCATACATACCTACCCACATAATACACGTACAGCACATGTATGCCTGGTCTTTGGGAAAGTCAGAAGAGGGTACTAGATCCTATAGAACTGGAAATATAGATGATTTGAGTTGCCATGTCTGTGCTGCAACCCCAACTTAATATTCTGCAAGATTGGCAAATCATCTTTTTCTCATAAGTATCCCCCAACTCCCATTATTGTTATCTCTTTATTAGCATTAGAGGTTCTGGGTAACTTGCTTAGATATTACATGGCAGGAAATGGGGCAGTGCCTATGACTTCTCCAAAGTAGTCGAGGAAGGAATAGGAGTGTGACTCAAACATGGCTTCATTGAGGGTCAGGGTTCATGGTTTGGGCAGTAAAAGAGGAGTCAGAATGAGAACTTAAGTCCTTGACCTGTGTATCAGGTGAAAATATCCCACCTCCTTTTCCCTGAGCTAGCTGATTTTATTCCTCAATTGTCTAGAAAAGGGAAAAGGTCACCACTTCTCCTTCTATGGGCTGTTTCTTCCTGCTCTATGCCCAAGGGTCTCTTTCTAGTGCTCTTGTTGACAGCATTCAGGGATCATCTTAGCATCCCTACAGGGAACAGAGATGGCCCTTTTCCAGCTCCCCTAGGGAAGTTCAGAGAGGATGTAGGGTCATTAAACCTCAGCATCTGGTCCTACTGAGAATAGGTGGAGATGTTTCAGCTTGCCTTTGTTAAGCAGGATTGTATAGGTGCCATCTTCAGGAGCTGGGGCTGGCCTACTTGCAAAGGAAGTGAGAGATTCAGTCCTTTAAACAGCACCTTGGAATGTTTCTGAAGATTGAGTTGCCTAGAATCACTCTGGACTTAGTTGCTTTATGGGGTTTCCTCATAACAGCAAGAAACCGCCACTCAGTGACACAATCCCTGGATTTACAAGTGGTAAGGCAGTCACCGATGTTTGGCTCAGGGGTAGGGTTCAGGCATCTGTGGGTCTAGAGATAATAATTAGTCAAGCATCCATCTCCAGGTCTTCTGTGCATACATCTCAGACTCCTTAGACCTCTTCCCTCATTGGTTGCTTTTCTTTCCTCTCTTTATCAACCTTGTGTCCTTATGTCCTTCTTCCTTCCTCCCTTTTTTAATGAAATAAATATTTACTGAGTGTTTTTCTGTTTTAAATTATGATGCAACATAAAGATATGGAGTCCTGAGTTCAAAGATCTCAAGAGAAGCAAAAAACCATATCCATGAGAAAATAGCAATGGTCAGTGTCTTTGAAGGAGACACCATACCACAAAGGTCCAGCTTCATGCACTTTGTGGACTGTCAAATAATGATTTTTTGTTTTATTTTACTTTGTTTTGGGAAAGGGGGTGGTTAGCTTGTTGTAGCCTAGCTTAGCTTAATGTTGCTATACAGTGAAGAATATCCTAGAACCCCTGAACCTAAATCATCCAGATTTAAGCATTACCTATAGATTGGAGCTAACACATGTAGATTTTTTTTTCGTTTTCTGGCCTGAAACTCCATCCTAATATCTTTATCTGTGAGTTGGGCACGAATAAAATTGGGTCACCATCCTGATGGGACACTCTAAGCAAAATCAAAAACCATCCCTTTATTGTGTGCCAGGCTGTGTTCTCTAAAGTTGACCACATTTAGTATATGTATCCCACTGGATCCAGTTACTCTTGTCAGCACTAGATTCTGTTATTGTAGCCAGGCTGGTAGGGGTGTGGTGATGTGAGACTGAGAAAGGAGGTGGGCGCTGGCGCTGTGCTGTTCTTCTGTAGTTTCCAGATGTAATGATGCTGAGAGCCTCAGCCTCCTCAGTGCTCACTGGACAGCTGCCTGTGAAATGCCCTTGAGATGTGGTTCACTGTTCTATGGGAGCCTCTGCTGTTATGTTTGTGTTTTTCTAACTCTCTGTGTAAGTATTTTGGGTACCATTGCTTATTGTAAATTACCAGTATTTTTCCCTTGAAGGAAAGTGCTCTTTTAGAGAAATCTTACCTTTGCTTCCCCTAAAAGGACAGATAGACACAAAGATACTTATTAGGTTGAATCTGAAAAAAAATTGCTTGCTTTAGATTTACCACTTAAAGCTATATTTCACCCATAATTGATTGTTTGTGTGCAGAGGGAGCAGGGGAAAAAAGGAAGAAATGACTTTCCTGCTTACATACCAAGGTGATCCATCAGCATTCCCTGGGAAGATTACAGTATCTCCAGTGCACTGCTCATGTCACCTTCTGTCACTACTCATATTGTGTGTGCCTGTGTCTGTGTTTGTTCTGTCATCTTCATCTGGTTATTTACTCTCTTTTTTGCATAAGTCAGTGGTGTGTGTGTGTGTGTGTGTGTGTGTGTGTGTGTGTGTGTGTGTCTGGTCAGAGTCTGACATGGGGTGCTTCCTCAACTGTTTTTGCTTTATTCCTTGAGACATGGTCTCTCAGTTAAATTTCATCTAGAGTAGACACCTGTCTTATTCTGGGGATCCCCTGTCTCTCCCTTCCTGAGACGGAATAAGCGTGTGAGACTGTGCACATGTCATGTGTTATGTTCAGGTTCTAGGAGTTATGTGAAAAGACATAGTCCTCATTCTCCTGAGACATTTTTGTTTTCGGCATCATTGGACAGGTGAAGAGACTGAGACATGGGGAGGTTCAGTAACTTGAGAAGATGCACAGAAACTGAACAGTGTGCTCAGAACTCACACCCCACCTTTTCTTAATTAAATAGTACTATTTTTTATTTTATACATATGGGTTTTTGCCTACATACATGTCTGCAAACATGTGTGTGTTTAGCCTGTGGAAGTAAGAAGAGGGAGTTACATTGCCTGGAACTGGAGCCACAGACAGTTCTGAGCAATCTGTCTTTGGAACAGCAGTCAGTCTCTTAACCTTTATGCTACTCAATATCCGTTATCTCCCTGTTCTGCCTGTGTAGCTGGCCTGTGTCAGGTGACTCTTAGATGAATGTGATTCTCTTTCAGCCTCCACTATGTGGGTGATTCCAGCATACAACCAAACCCGGGTTTCTGAGTTCATCCTACTTGGCTTCTCCAGTGACCCCATGACCAATAACATCCTCTTCTTTGTGTTCCTTCTCATCTACCTGAGCTCAGTCATGAGCAATGGACTCATCATCTTGCTGATCTGCCTGGACTCACATCTGCACACTCCCATGTACTTCTTCCTCTGTATACTCGCCATGTTGGATATGGGCTGTGTCACCACCACCATGCCCCAGATGTTGGTGCATCTTCTTGCTTACTCTAAGACCATCTCTTTTGCTTGCTGCTGGATGCAGATGTATGTGTTTGGTGCCTTGGGTATAACTGAGTGCACCTTCTTTGTTGTCATGGCTTATGACAGATATGTGGCCATTTGCTACCCACTGCATTACACTGTCATCCTCAACTGGGGACTGTGCATACGACTGTCAACTGGATCTTTGGTCTGTGGTTTCCTCTCTGCTTTGTTACATACATTCTTTACCATGAGTCTACCATATTGTGGACCCAACAAGGTCAACCACTATTTCTGTGAAGGCCCTGCAGTGCTTAGCCTGGCTTGCATGGATACTCACCTCATTGAGATGGTGGACCAGGTCTTGAGTGTTTTTATGCTTCTTATTCCAATTTTCCTTATTGTGGCCTCTTACATTCAAATTGCCATGGCTATTCTCAAAATCAAGTCCACCCAAGCCCGCTGCAAGGCTTTCTCTACCTGTGCTTCCCACCTGACTGTGGTCTCATTCTTCTATGGTCCAGGCACTTACATCTACATGAGGCCCAACTCCAGCTATTTCCCTGAGCGAGACAAGCAGATTTCACTCTTTTACAATGCCTTTAGTGCCTTGCTAAACCCAATGGTCTACAGTCTGAGGAACAGGGACATAAAGAGGGCATTTCTCAAGGTGATGGCACATGGTAGGGTGGACTAGTGAACCAGGATCCAGGAGACGCTGGAGTGGATTATCCACTTTTTGGTAAAGGGACAGAATCTTAATTTTATTTAGCTGTCTTGTGTATTTGACAAACATAGTCCTTGGTAACTGGTACAAAGCACTATGAAACCAGGGTGACTATCTTGATTTACAGGATACACAAATATATAATACCTAACATGTCAGTAATCTTACTGGGTTAGAAGTGTAAATAATCATTTGTTGTTCATGCTTGTAGCTGTGGGTTGGGAGTGACATTCTTTTCTCTCACATCCATCCTGAAGGAGGAACCTTATGTCTAACATGTCATCCTAGAACCAGAAGGAAAGGAACACTGGGCAAACTCACTATGACTGAGCTTCTCAAGAATGACCTGTGTCTCTTTCTACACATTCTCTCAACCAAAAAGTAGTATGGTTCAGCCTGACATCAGGAGGTGGGAAGTTTTGTTTTGTCTAGAGAGAAGCAATACACATTCTTTGTCCATAGTTTGATGTGTTAGTTTCTTTACTTAGGAATCAGCAAGTCATGTGCATTATGTTCCCATAACACAACAGCATACCTATAAACCAATACAAGCCTGCTAACTGTGGATAGCACAGTAGAGACAGCAGAATGCTAAGTAGCACAGCATGTGTTGTTAGGACAGAGGTAAGCTGATAAGAGTGTGGAAAAGAGGTAATACAGCTCAGAGAATGAACTTCATATGTAAATTCAGTGTGGTCTATAGGGAAATCAGATATTGCCTCTTCTGTCAAAAGTGACAATGCTGGCATTGAAGGAGCTGGGGTCTCATTAGAGCCTTCCCAACTTTTCTCCTCACAGGCAGCCACCAAGGGCATGTCCAGCTGTTGACTGCTGACTGCTGGCTTTCTTTCCACCCTTGGATGGGACTGGATTACCTACTATCTTCAAAGTACCTCTTAACTGACCAATCAGCAGATTACTCTATGATTCAGTGACTGAATTATTCTTTCTTAAGGAGGCCTCAGACCTTCCAGTTCTATTCTGTGGTCAGGTATTTCTAAATAATGGGTACCCTTCATTCATAGTTAATATTCCTTACTATTGTTTACTGTAACATGAAGGCCTGCTTGTTGGGTTTCTGTTCTGCCCAGTTCCCACAGCTGGGAAGTCCCAAAGCAAATCATACAGAAAGTCTACATTAATGATAAGCTGATTTGCCCATTAGCTCAGGCTTCTTATTAACTCTTATAATTTATATTAATCCATTATTATTATCTATGTTAGCCACATGGCTTGGTACCTTTTTCAGTGGGGCAGGTCACATCCTGCTTCTTCAGTGTCTGGACAGGACTGAGGAGAAAGCTTCCTTCTTCCCAGAATACTCTTGTTCTCATTGCTCTGCCTCTACTTCCTGTCTTGTCCCACTTATACCTCCTGCCTGGCTACTGGCCAATCAGCATTTATGTAAAACCTAATTGACAGAATACAGAATTGTCCTGCACCATTCCCCCCCCCCCTTTTTAAAAAAAGAAAACAAGAACATCCATAGTCCATTTTTTTTTTTTGGGAGTGTGGGCATAGTATTCTAGGCTACTTCCTGCTGGTTGGGGGTGCTGATAATCTTATGAGGACCTAAAGAAAATTTTGAATTATGATCAAGTCCTGACTGGAGTATCCTGTAAGTCTTGATCATCTCAGGCAGCAGTCTTGAATCTGTTCTGGATGTAGAACTCAGATATCCAGGCCATCTGTCCCTACTGGAGATTTCTCAGGTGGTCTTCCTTAACCAACCTGATTTTTCTTTACTCAGAATGAATCCACAGCCTCTCATTTCCTGTGGAAACAAAAGCAAAATCTCTTCTCCAAAGTAACATACATTTTGACTTCAATTTTGAAGTCAAGGTATTTTCAAAATACCTATCTTGGATTAATTTAGCAGCATTTATAAACAAATATCTTTTAGCGGCTGTTGCTCCTTTCTCAGCATTCAAACAATTCAAAGAGTGTATAATAACATACAGTATCCAGATTCTCTGTGTGTTTTCCATCTTTATGCAACTGTATTTTAAACTCTATTTATTTTATTTTTAATTTTTGGCTCTTTGAGACAGGGTTTCCATCTTTATACAACTGTATTTTAAACTCTATTTTATTTTTAATTTTTGGCTCTTTGAGACAGGGTTTCTCTGTATCTTTGTCCTGAAACTCACTCCATAGACCAGGTTGTCCTTGAACTCACAGAGATCCACCTATCTCTGCCTCCCCAGTGCTGGGATTAAAAGCCTCTCTCAGGCTTTATGTGGATGCAGTTGTCCACACATTGGCACCATTTGTAAGAAGCAGGATGTGACCTGCCCTGCTGAAAAAGGTACAGAGCCATGTGGCTAACATATACTAGAATAATGGGTTAATATAAGTTATAAGAGCTAATAAGAAACCTGAGCTAATGGGCCAGTCAGTTTATCATTAATGTAGACCCTGTGTGATTTTCTTTGGGACCTAAAGACTGTGGAAACTGGACAGGACAGAAACCCCAACTAGCAGGCCCTCATGTTACAGTTTACTTATATATTTATTTTTGAGAATTATTGCATATCCTTGGCTAGCCTGAAACGTTCCACATTTTGATGATCATCTTGAGTTTTCAATCTTTCTTCCTTCTCTTCCCCAGTGCTGGAATTATAGGATGGGAAACCACACCTGGGAGAATTTTTGCTTCTTTAATGATATCCTTTGTTTTATAAAAGTTTTTACTTTGGTAAAATGCAATTCATATAATTTTAAAAAAAAGGCAGATTCTCCTATGTAGCCCTGTCTCTTCTGGAACTCACTATGTAGACAAGGCTAGCATTAAACTCAGAGATGCTCCCATATCTGACCATGTAGTGCTGGTGTTAAAGGAATTCTCCACTCTACCTGATCAAGCACTTTTATTTCTTGTTATTTTGCAGTAGCTCTAAGAAATTGGTTTTTTTTTTATCCAATGTCATGAAATTTTACTCCTGTTGTTTTTTTTTTTTTTGTAAGGTATGTGGCATAGGAATAATAGGATAAAAGGGTAGATTACTGATTCTACTTTTAAACTAAAAATAAACTATTAATCTCAAATATTTTACACTGGTATGGATTTCTTTATATTGATGGAAATACAAGTCTATTTTTGTTAGAACATACTATATATGTTTCTACTCTCATTTAAGGTATTGTACCTGTGTAGCTCATATAAAAACATAATGTAAAGTTCTAGTCCTTGATCGGTATTATTACAAACTGTTTAGCATAATTAAGAAATGCAGGTTAGTAGTTAGTCATATGTTACAATCAAAATTATAGTCATATTAGGTATGTTTTCAAAGTCAAACAGAGATATATTTTAGAAAGATAGGTGGTCTTCAAACTTTTCAGAGACCTGTATAATATTTAAGATGTTTGAATAAAATAAGGATTTCATAACAGTGAGATACATCTGCTACTGACAGTAACAAGCTATTTCAAAAAGGATGATGTGCAACAAAAATCTCCATATGGAGTTTGCTTTCATTATGACAAAGTTAGTCTCTCAGTAAGAAACTGCTCTTGCCTTGACTATTCAGAACATACTGTCCAAATTGAACAAGCAGCATACAAAAGAGCTTTGGAAAGAAAATGAAGGACAGTCCTTTAAAAATTCCTGCTTTACAGAAAAGTCTATCAGATATTTTAGGCCAGTAGGCTGAATATGAATGCCCCAAGGTTGCAGAGGAACCTTGGGAGGCTGTCCAAGCAGCCATCTGTTCCTGTCATTTCTATTGTTTTGGAAGTTGCTGCCTTGCACTTCCTGTTTATTCAGGTAACATTATACTCTGGTGTTTGATGCGGTTTCACTCTAGATAGTTACAGTTTTGTGGTTTTCTTTGTTACCAAGTTCAGAAAAGAAACTTATAGAAGAGATATAAAGTTTATAAGGTTGAGAAACATAAAAGTTAAAATTATTTCTCTAAGAAAATGTTTTAAGGTCTAAAAAGATATTTTTAGTTTTATAATACATGCAATAATAGGAAGTAGTTAAGGTATAAAACCTGGACTCACCAAGATAGGATTGATAATGGAATAATTTTTCTGAATTTGCCAAAAGCAAACGGACTAGACATTGTGAATGTAATTTTAACTGATAGTTGTTCTTATTATATATAGTTTTACTGTATTAGAGTTAAAACTATTCTTCTTTATTTAGACAGAAGGGGAAATGTTGCATAGTATTTAATCACACCATGTGAAAATGTGTCACTGTTTTATTCTGATTGTTTAATAAAGAGCTGAATGAGCAAAAGTTAGGCAGGAGAAGTTGTGTGAGATTCCAGGTAAAGATGGGGACTCTGGGTTATAATCTAACCCATGGGGGATTCACCAGTGAGACACTTAGGAAGTCAGACATAAGGTACTAAGAAGAGGTAACAAGCTGTGTGTCAAAATGTAGATTAATAGAAATGAGTTAATTTACATTATAAGAGCTAGTTGGAAATGAGCATAAGCTAAGGCCAAGCTTCCATAATTAATAAAAACTCTCCATGTCATTATTTGGGAGCTGGCAGTCCCAAAAGAAAATCTGACTCAAAAGACTGATTTTAGTTAATTTCATGTCTACTTAGGTTGGTAATCAAAATAACAGTCACAAGTATGTCTTGCTTACTGTGGTTCATCTTCCATAAAAGAAGGTAAGGTGCCCATTCCTATATATCTAGTATTTACTTTTTAAACTTTTATTTTACACCCCAATCCCAGTTCTTTCTCCCTCTCATCCTCCCACTCCTCCCACCTTCTCACTACCCTACCTCACCCAACATCTACTCCTCGGAGAGGGTGAGGCCTCCCATAACAAGTCAACAAAGTCTGTCACATCACTTGAGGCAGGACCAAAGTCCTTCCCACTGTATTTAAGCTGAGAAAGGGAATGGGCTCCAAGGAGCCAGTTCATGCAGTAGGGATAACTACTGGTTCCACTGCTAGTGGTCCCACCAATTGCCCATGCCACACAACTGTCACCCTCTTTC